CTTGTTGTTGTTGTTGTTGTTGTTGTTGTTGTTGTTGTTGTTGTTGTTGTTGTTGTTGTTGTTGTTGTTGTTGTTGTTGTTGTTGTTGTTGTTGTTGTTGTTGTTGTTGTTGTTGTTGTTGTTGCTGTTGTTGCTGTTGCTGTTACTCTTAGACCCAGCCTGTGTCTTTGGTTTCTCCGTCTTCGTCGGCTTTTCCACAACCCCCTCTGTCTGTTTGAAATCAAGATCCGCCCCGATATAGCTCGAGCAAGTGCTGAAGATGACGCGCACGTCGCGGTCCGGCGGCTGCGCCCTCAGCGCCGGGCTGAGGATACTCAGAAGGTGGAAATTGGCCAGGTAGTTGACCTGCCATTCCTCATCCAGGCCGTCCTCTGTCTTCCGTCTCGGGCTCCACGCCGGCGTCAGCGTGTTGGCGCACAGAATGACCATGTCCAGCCGCCGGGGCATCGAATTATCGACCCATTTGGTCGCAAACTTCCGCACCGAGTGGAGCGAGGTCAGATCGACCTGTTCCGCATATATAAGCTGGTTTTTTGTCGCTTTTCGCAGGTCCTGGATGTAGTCGACGAGAAAGGGGTCGGAGGGAGCGTGCTGTGTGAGGAGAATGATCTGGGCGCCGCGTAAGGCCAGTTCATATACGAGCGCAGCACCGACGCCTGATGTTCCGCCCTACATTTCAGTCTTGTTTAGCAATTGATCAGATATAGCTTTTTTTTTTCTGTATTTCCAAAGTTTGGACGAGGAACAGAATTAAAATCCAAAAGTTCCAGGCAGACGAACCGTAACCATGACCACTTTGGAGCGCATCAGTCGTTCCGACCGGTTGCGGGCACCGCCGAAGTAGAACTTCAGCAAGCCCACGACGGCCAGACATGCGACCGTCTTGAGGAACGGGTACGCATAGGGGATGGACGAGAGGCCCTCGGAGACGGCCTGCGCAATCAGAGGAATGGGCATTGTGTTGGTGCCTCATCCAGTAGAGAAGTGCTCTGTAGACTGACTGTCAGGTCATTAATTAGTTGAACTCCGGCCGCGTCACGGCTCTTCGCCGAGCCAGCTTGCTTAGCTTAGCCGCAGATCTCCCGCCGCCGCCACGCGAGCGGACATGCAGCAAGAACCAGCACTGCCTTCCATACCATCGTTCTCTCTACTCTTTTGCTTCTCTTCTCCTCGTCAAACTGACTTCCTCACACTCCTGTCCTGTCTCCAAGACAGTATCTATGTTTAACTTTCATTCAGACAGGACAGCAGAGACATGACATAGCTCATAGCTCGACCCCGCTTGCTTGATCTAACCATGTCCCATCACTACAACGGCGACGACGAGGACTACTTCCTCCCGCTCGAGGACCAGCGAGTCTTTGGCGCTGGCATTAAGAGGAAACGCGTCCCGTTCGTCCGTCCTTCTGACCATGGCACTCTCAGCACGACGGCCGACCAGGCTTCTTCTTCCGCCGTGCGTCAGACAAGCGAGCCCGCGACCAGCGTCGCAGATCGATATCTTTCCATCGTGCTGCCCAAGCGGAGACAACTGGAAAAGAATCAGAAACTAGATTCGCAGGAGGATAAGCTCCGCGACGAAACTGCCTCTGCTCCTCCGTCCTTGGGGGGAACGACGACGACGTCGCCCGCTCTGCTTCCGCCGGAGGGAGAAGAATCCCCTGACGATAAGAAGAAGAACACAATAACTCACGACGAAACCGTTGTCGTCTCGCAGCAGCAGAAAATCTGCGATGTGTGCAACCTCCCCCTGACAGAAACTACGACCTCTTCTAGAGTCACCACCGATGGCGACAAACCAAGAACGCCTCACGAAGCCTCCATCGCGCACCAAGTCTGTCTGACGCACTCGCATCCACCATCCCATCTAGACCGTGCCCGCCATGGCTTTCGCTACCTCGCCTCATACGGATGGGATCCAGACAGTCGGCTGGGTCTAGGCGCGCCAGGACGAGAGGGGATCCGGGAACCGATCAAGCCGAAAGTGAAGCACGACACGTTCGGACTGGGGATGCAGATCGATCCGGAGGCCGTCGCCGCCGTGCAGAAGAAGCAGCAGCAGCAGCAGGAGCAGCGGCAGAAGCTGAATGCGAAACAGGTGCGTCTCAGGGAGATGGAGGCCAAGAAGAAAAGTGACAAGCTGCGCGAGATGTTTTATCGCAGTGATGATGTCCAGCGGTATCTGGGGGGTGATGTATAGAAAGAAATAAACTAGAATAGTCTCGTGGTCGTATCATGCGATCGCATGGATGCACAGGGGGATTTTATTTTCTTTTCAACTTTTGGGCCAGGCTGCCCTTTCTCTCTCCCTCTCCCGCTCCTTTCTCAGAAAAAAAAGTTGCATACCTCTTTGCAAACACAACGGCGTTACTATTATCGGATTACATAGATTTGATTTGATTGGATTGGATTGGATTGGATCAGGCCTGACTGACTGACTGACTAGCTGGCTAGCTAGCTGGACTGGGCTGGGTGGGTTATATTTTCTTTTTTTTTGTCTGCGATATGTACGATTGATATGATTGATACGATACCCCTTCTTCTTGGCTTTTTCATTTTGGTCTACAGTCTATGGGAAGGAGTTTAAAAGTTTTTGACTTGTTTTTTGTTTTTTACTACTCCGGAGTATACTATTCTATTCTGTACTTTCCATGTCAACGTGTGTATGATAAGTATCTGGGTACATACTTTTTCAAGAAAAATAAATTCCATACAGACAAACGTACGTATGTACTATACATACATACATTACGTACCTAGATGGAAGCTTAGTTTCATGTTTTATTTATTTAGTTATTTATTTATTTATTTACTATGGAAAAGAAAAAAAAACAAAGGAAATGGTATCAGAGACGCCCCCCTGTACAAGAAGAAAAGAAGACGAAGAGAAAGAAATAAAATGAAAGTGAAGAGGAGATATCTGATTAGCAGCCCCAAAAGAGAAAAAAAAATAACCACAGCAACGACTGCTGCAGATCAATGGTATCATTCGGTTCAGTTCAGTGCAGCCCAGCCCAGTCCAGTCCAGTCAGCTCATCTGAAGAAGTGATGTTTCTTCTTTTCCTTTTCTTTCTTCTGCAGCTTGCCTCCTGGCGCTGGAGCGGCACCATTCGTCGACCCGTGCGCAGCCTGCTGGCGAGGGTCGTTCAGGGACATGGACGCCATGGCTGCCGTTGGAGGAGCAGGTCCAGCACCAGCACCGGCACTGGCAGCCTTTGCAGGAGTGGGTCCCGATTGCTGTTGCGGTGGCTTGGTCGTAGCTGGTGGCGGATCCTTCTCGAACAGATGGGCCGGCGCTGTTGGCCGTGGTCGTTCGGCCGGAATATCCAGTCTTCGCTTGTCGGCGCTGAGGTCGCCCACTTGGCGGAGGAACAGGCCCGGGGTCAGCATATGCGAGGTCGCCAGGAACACGTCCTTTGACGACGCCTGCGATACCTCGTAACATGCCCGCGATTCCGCGTACGTCGCTCCGCCTGCCATGAACACCAGGATGCGCTGGCGAGGCTGGTCGGCCGCCGACCGCGTTCGAGCCCAGGTGGGCTTCGCGCTTCTGAGGGAGGCTTGCGACAGTTGCTCTTGCATCGCGGCGTTGCTGTCTGTATCGACGGGTCGGGTGAAAGGAAAGACTGCCGAATCTAACGTCCCCTTGACCTGCTCTTCCAGCATCGTCTTCAGATTCGGCTCGAACCGCGACAGACTAACCTCTTCGTCCTGCGGGGGCGGCGGCGGTTTGCGTTGGAAGAGCGGCTGGGGCGCAGGTTTGTTGTCCTTCAACGGCTTCTCGACTCTCACTCCCAGCAAATCGAGGTTATAGATCACCTCCCCGTCCTGCGGTGGCAGTTTGGCGTGGGCCAGGAGTTTCCGGATATCACCTGCAAGCAACCCGTCCCGGTACATCAGGTAGAGAATAATCAGCCTTAAGCGGTCTGGCGGGATGATAGAATCATCGTCGAGGAGGCGAACAAGCTGAGACGCCAAGTTCTTAGGTTTTTGTAATCCTCATCGAGCCCGGTAGAGAGACACTATATCGATCGTCAGCCAAAATCTCACCGACATTGCAGAAGCTCACTACATACCTGCTCAACCGAACTAACTTCCAAAAGTTTCCGCTCTTGGAAGTATTTCATGCACTCCTGCGCCATGTTCAAGTGGAGTGTGTACGCATTTTTACCTTCTTGAAAGTCGGACAATCCAGCCAACATGTCTTTGATGGTGCTAACGGTGACTTTGGAGTTGCTGAGATCATACCACGTTAGGCTTATAACAAACAGTGTAACGAATAGAGTAGGGCTAGAAACTCACTCGTCCGCAAACTGAGGATTGGCGGCTCGAAACCTGGCAAAGTCGTCAGCCAGTTTCTCAAGGACATCCTTCATGTGAAGATGTCTGTATTCGACCCATATCCGGTCATTCTCGGTAATTTCCATGTCCTTGACCTCTTCGTTCGGGCCGCCTTCGTTGATCACAGTCTTATACGTAATCTTTGCACCATCTTTGATCGGTAGCAAATCGTGTGCCATGGCCTGGTACGTGAACTCATGGAGGAGAGGAGAGTAAAGGTCCATGGTCCGATCGACAATGAAGAGTACTCCCCGGGGCCTGGGAGACTGGGGCGGGAAATCTCGGTGATACTTGGCGTACTGGTCAAGTTCATCTTGCACAAAACGCGCCAGATGGGAGCACAGAACGCTTGCTTCATGTGTGGGAGTCCGTGGTTTATAATAGCGGATGACCGGGTATTCGCCCAAGGTGACACACAGAGACACGATCTGCACCTTGATCAGCAGGAATATGGCAACCTATACTCTGCAATCCATACGAACCTTCCGAGCCAGATCCTCTAGATGGCCCCGTATTAGATTGTTGCAAGCGGGGTGAAAGAGAACCGGAAAGCTCCAGGGATCCCGAAAGGTAACTAGACGAGCCTCTCGAGGGTAAAAGTCGATGTTCAAGACACGGACACTCGCGATATGGTCGCGAACCATCTGCGACCGGTCCAGCCTGCCGCGCTGTTGAGGATCGGGAACTGTAGATAACCATGAGAATCTTGCACCTGAAAATTCCATGGAAACGGGGTTGCCCAACATGTTGTCCATAACAAGAAGCCTTTCCTATACCGCTGTCGCTCCAGATCTGCCATGAGACAGTCCACAATATGCGGCTGAGGTGACAGGAAGTAAAGCGCATCCATATCCGGGTTGGCAGGCCGCCGGTGCTCGATCTGCTCGATGTCTGTTGCCATTCTCAGCTGCGTTTCTCCGCCTCCAGCAGGCGGCCAGGCTTACTGGTGACATTGTGGTTCAAGACATCGTCCTCCTTCACCACGTTATCGAGCAGAGTCCGACTGGTTTCGTCCACCACCAATACTTTCCACTGGAGGAGACACAGTCAGTTTTTGGGCTTCGTGACACGGTGCTGGCACATGGAAGGAGAGCGTACGTCGTTTCCTACTGTCTGACGGATCGCATCCAGAATGACTGGCACACCCAGCGTTAGTCGCCGCGCGTATTTCAGGCGAGGGGAGACAGCTACCTACTGTCGCGCTGTATGTTGATCAAGGAGGAGCCCATTTTGGCTGGCAGGTTGAGGCCCGCAGCATGGGCCACGGAAGACTAATCTCCAGAGAAATCAATTTCACCACTGGGCCAGAGGCGGGGGAAAGAGTAGAGCATGCGTCAGCGAGGTACTCAGGCAGGCAGCAATTTCAAGTCATACCGCGACACCGTGGCGGACGGCGATCTGATACCGGAGTCGACGAGTTCCCCACCATAAGCGTAACAATTGACCGCCGCCCGCAATAAATCATCCATTAGCTCCAGCTAGCCCGCCGACTGCCCGAAGTGCCGCCGTCAGCGTGCGCTGCAGGCCCGCACGGCAGCTGGATCAACTGGATTTCCCGCTCCGAACCCTTTTCCGCCAGAACTTTTGGTCTTTCGTCAGTATTTGGCAGCAGCAGCGTCTATTATTTTGCACTATCTCTAACCGCAAAAAATTCGTTGCTCTGTAGGGAATACGGAGCCTAGTTGGACTGTTTTTCATAGAGTCGCCCTTTTTTTTTTGGCTTTTTTTTTCTTGCGCGTTGCCAGCGCTCTCGTTCTCACCTCCGACTACTACTCGCTTGTATTCCAAGCGTCGAACTTGGGAATGCAGATATGGACAAGCAAAGCCAGCCATTGCCTCCTCTGCTCATTTCGTCCCCTGTTTAGGCAGGCGACTCGGGGCTTCAACACGACTTCGGCCCTAGCCCGGTCCAAATCGAAGCGAAAAGCCCCAAAACTGACTGCCAAGGTATGATGGGCTTCCATGTAGTCCTCGTCTTGTAAACATGCTGATTGGCAATGTTTCTTCCCACAGGGCTCACAGGCGGTATCACCAAATCTCATAAGACGGGGACTCGCGAAACAAGACTTCTCCGCTATCATATCCTCCGCTCTGCAAGAATTTAAACAGCGATTCGATGAATCGGATCCGAAGCTGGAAAATTGGGACCAATTCGAGCGTCGAATTGTCCAGGCATCCAAGCTTGATGATCGCGGCAAGGCTCCAAGATGGGGTTCTCTGCGGCAGCTCAAGTCGTCCCTTCAAGAGGCCTATCTTCGAGGCGGTATGATAGGGCTGAGGAAGGAGTTGCAGTATCTTTTCCAGGCCGACGAAATCACGGCAAAGTTTTCCACGCCTCATATCCAGGACCAGCAGAAGGTGGCCGATCTTCGCTACCCGGCAGAATGGTACCCGCAAGCTCGCTCGATGCAACGGACCATCCATCTGCATGTCGGGCCCACAAACTCAGGAAAGACCTACCACGCTCTGAAGCGACTGGAACAGTCCAAGAGGGGATTCTATGCTGGGCCTCTGCGGTTACTGGCTCAGGAAGTCTATACTCGCTTCAATTCGCAGGGGATACCCTGTGGTCTTGTCACCGGCGACGAAGTTCGGTTTCCCGATAACGAATCGCCGCGCATTATCAGTAACACGGTCGAGATGGTGAGTTTAGCCAAGGAATACGAAGTTGGAGTCATCGACGAGATTCAAATGATCTCCGACCCAAGACGAGGCTGGGCTTGGACTCGCGCTCTCCTGGGCGCCCGAGCCTCGGAGCTGCACCTTTGCGGTGAGACACGGGCAGTCCCTTTGATCCGCGAGCTGGTTGCTCTCACCGGCGATACGTTAGAGATCCATCGCTATGACCGACTCAATCCGTTGAAGGTCATGTCGAGAAGCTTGAGGGGCGACCTCCGGAATCTGCAAAAGGGCGATTGTCTGGTCTCCTTCTCGAGACTTGGCATCCACGCATTGAAGAATGAGATCGAGAAGGCGACGGGAAGGCGAGCAGCGATCGTGTATGGCAGCCTGCCGGCCGAGATTCGGACCCAGCAAGCCAATCTCTTCAACGATCCGAATAATGACTATGATTTTCTCGTCGCCAGTGATGCCATCGGCATGGGCCTCAACCTGTAAGTCCTTGAATCACCAGTCAGTCCTCTGCCATCACTAACCACCAGTGCAGGAAATGCAAACGAATTATTTTTGAAACCCTGGTCAAGAGACTTCCGACTGGTCTTCAGAGGCTGTCTGTTCCCGAGATCAAACAGATTGCAGGGCGTGCCGGTCGGTATCGTGCCGCCAACGAGACTGGATCGGATCGAGGATCAGATCCATCCAACAACGTTGGGCTGGTGACATCTCTTGAAGAAGTCGATCTGCCCTATATCCAACAGGCAATGAATTTTGAGCCTCCCCCGCTCAAGGCTGCGGGAATCTATCCACCGGATCCCGTCATCCAACACTTTTCGAATTATTTCCCGTCGAATGTTCCTTTCCAGTACATTGTCAAGCGTCTTATGGCAATTTCACAAGTCCATCCCCTTTTCTTCATGTGCGACCCGACGTCACAACTTGAGGCGGCAGAAATCATCGACTCCGTACCCGGCCTGAGTATCGAGGACCAGCTCGTGTTCATGGCTGCGCCCATTTATGCAAAGGATCCCAGAACAAAACAGGTCTGTCGCGCCTTCGCCAAGTGTGTCGCCGAACAGAGTGGTGGTCGATTATTAGATATTCCAGAGCTGAACCTGGAAATCCTGGAGCAGCCTGTGTCGGGCAAAAAGGAATACCTGCACGACCTGGAGTGCTTGCACAAATCGATTATCTTATATTCTTGGTTGAGCTACCGACTGGGTGGCATTTTTACAGACCGGACCCTTGCAGGCCACGTCAAGGAACTCGTGGAAGAAAGAATGGTGCGAGCTCTGACGGAGTTCTCTGCGAATAGAAAACTCAGGAAGGATGCTTCACTTCGACGGCAGATTGCCCTGCAAAGGCAGATGCATGAACAGAAACGACTCCTGGCAGAAGCAGGCATAGAGAATCCCCAGCAGGAGGATGGCATGCATGACCCTCTTGATCTCCACATTGATGGCACTTCTCTGGAGACAAATGAGACTTCTCTGGAGGCAACCACGACCACGACCACGACTACAACCGCAACCACAGCCACAAACGAGGCGCAAGCCAGCTAACCCAATGGTCGTGCGACCTGTGGTCTCTGCATCTCTGTTCATTACCCTCTCCCATACCTCCTTATCACTGTATATTATTTTTTTCTGTACAGGCCCATCTCCTCTTCTACGGTGATTTTCGGTTTCCTTACATTTGGGGATGGGAAAATAGACTGGGGGCGTCTGGTGTGACATTAGGGACTTGCCCACGATGATCGGATAAATGTATTATGTACAATACCCTGTTCATTTGTTGTTAGAGACGCCTCTATATATAAGTGAATGCTCTTATAATGACACTATTTATTTCCATCTACCCGTTCGCTTCATTTTTCCAGCGTAGAGTGAAGAACGTGTCTTCGTTGAATGGAATAACACTGCCCCTGCGCGTATCTTATCGGAGTGGCGTTGGAGCTGATTGCCTGCGCCGGAAGCCCGCCACAACAATTTTTCCGCCACTGCAGCTTCACCACTCCGCGTGAGCAAATGCGCCAAACCAGCAGGCCTTGAAAGAGGCGTTTCGCTCTTTGTCGACCCGGACACCACTTCGGTGGTTTTTGTTTTCCTTCATATTCCTATCATCCAGCAGCCATGGATGATCTCCAGTCTCTGGAGCTCTTCTCGCTCGTGTCGCGAGTGACGAGTGAGCTCCAGAACCACCTGGGTATCAACGATAAGACGCTGGCGGAGTTCGTGATCGATCAGCATCTACAATGCGGCTCATTCACGGAGTTCAAGAACAATCTCGAGGCTATGGGAGCCGATTTCCCGCCCAGTCTGATCGAGAGCATCGACCGGCTCGTCCTGACGATGCACCCCAAGTATAAAGCCAAGCGGAGTGACGAGAACAACGCGGCGACCAACCAGAAGGATGACATGGATGCTCTGGATGAGATCGAAAAGAAGGCGCGTATTTTCAAGGGGCTGGCGGTCCCGGATAAGGTTCCGACCTGGGATGATGAGGACTCTGCCCCCCGAAAAGATACTACCGAAGAAGATGCGAAGGCGGGTGCCATGGACGATACATTCGCGATGCTGGAAGGTCTCGCTGGGAAAGCTCGAGAGGAGAAGAATGGCCACGCCGCTGAAAGGAGCAGCAGGAAACGAAGCAGGAGTCCGGACTACGGCGACTACGATTCCGCTGTTCATCGTCGGCGCAGAGACAGGTATCGGTCCCGGTCCCGATCCCGGTCCCGATCGCGCAGCATCGAGCGGCATGGGAGGCGCAGAAGTGACATCGATGACCTGGACAGATATGGTGGAGGAAAGCCTAACGGCAGAAATGGTGGATATCGTAACGGTCACGAGCGCCGATCCCGACGGGACACGGAAGACGATGATGGCTTCTTCCGACGGCCTCCGACCCCGGAGTTGGACGACCAGCCTGTTCTCTACAAGGTTTATGACGGTCGTGTCACGGGTGTCAAAGACTTCGGTGCCTTCGTTAATCTTCTGGGAGTGAAAGGAAAAGTGGATGGCCTAGTCCACGTTTCTGCCATGCAAGAAGGAGCGCGGGTGAATCATCCCTCAGACCTAGTTTCGCGGGGACAGCCTGTGAAAGTCAAGGTGATCAGTATACAGGGTTCCAGAATTGGACTTTCCATGAAAGAGGTTGACCAGGTCACCGGACGTGATCTGGTGCCCCAGCGACGCTTAGCCTCTGGAGCGAATATGGAACGTCTTGATGGAGCTACCGCCCGAGAGCGCTATGGGAATCTCAGTTCTGAGGTCCCTGTCATCGAAGATGATATGGATAGCAAGCAAATGAGGAACAGAAAGCGACTGACGTCTCCGGAGAGGTGGGAAATCAAGCAACTGATCGCCTCCGGCGCGGTGTCGGCTGCCGATTACCCTGACATTGACGAGGAATACCATGCCACCCTCAACGGAGAAGGCGATTTTGAGGAGGAAGAAGATATAGATATTGAGGTCCGAGAGGAGGAACCCCCGTTCCTTGCTGGTCAGACGAAACAGTCTCTGGAGCTGTCTCCTATCAGGGTTGTCAAGGCCCCTGATGGATCACTCAATCGGGCTGCTATGGCGGGCACAAACCTTGCGAAGGAGCGACGAGAGCTCAGACAACAAGAAGCGCAAGACCGAGCTGCGGCAGAAGCAGCCGAAATTGACCTCAGTGCACAGTGGGAGGACCCTATGGCCGACCCAGAGCAGAGGAAATTTGCGCAAGATCTCCGGAATGCACGGCTCAGCAAGTCCGATTCTGCAATACCCGAATGGAAGAGGGTTACTCAGAGCAAGGACGTTTCTTATGGAAAGCGGACCAATATGAGCATCAAGCAACAGCGTGAGAGTCTGCCGGTGTTCAAGTTCCGCAAACAATTGCTCGATGCAATTCGAGACAATCAACTGTTGATTGTGGTTGGAGATACGGGCTCCGGGAAGACGACACAAGTCACGCAGTACCTGGCTGAAGCTGGTTATGCAAATAATGGCATAATAGGCTGCACGCAACCTCGTCGAGTGGCCGCTATGTCAGTTGCCAAGCGAGTGGCTGAGGAAGTGGGCTGCCGACTTGGGGCAGAGGTTGGATATACCATTCGTTTCGAGGACTGCACTAGTCCTGAGACAAAGATCAAGTACATGACGGACGGTATGCTGCAGAGAGAAATTCTGCTTGACCCAGATTTGAAACGGTACTCGGTGATTATGCTCGACGAGGCCCACGAGCGGACCATCGCCACAGACGTCCTGTTCGGACTATTGAAGAAGACCATCAAACGGAGGCCCGATCTGAAGTTGATCGTGACCTCTGCTACCCTGGATGCGGAGAAGTTCTCGGAGTATTTCAATGGCTGCCCCATTTTCTCAATTCCAGGCCGTACATACCCTGTCGAGATCATGTACTCCAAGGAACCCGAAACGGATTACCTCGACGCCGCACTGGTTACGGTCATGCAGATCCACCTTACTGAACCCCCTGGTGATATCTTACTCTTCTTGACGGGTCAAGAAGAGATCGACACCAGCTGCGAGATCTTATATGAACGAATGAAGGCGTTGGGCCCCAGCGTCCCTGAGCTCGTTATTCTCCCCGTGTACTCTGCTCTGCCCAGCGAAATGCAGAGTCGAATCTTCGAGCCAGCGCCACCCGGAGGTCGGAAAGTCGTCATTGCCACGAACATTGCAGAAACCTCTATTACCATCGATAACATTTACTACGTCATTGACCCTGGATTTGTGAAGCAGAATGCGTATGACCCGAAGCTCGGTATGGACTCTCTTGTCGTAACACCGATCTCGCAAGCCCAGGCCAAACAGCGGGCAGGTCGTGCCGGGAGAACAGGTCCAGGAAAATGCTTCCGATTGTATACGGAGGCTGCCTACCAAAATGAAATGCTACCGACATCGATACCCGAGATTCAGCGCCAGAATCTGTCGCACACCATTCTTATGTTGAAAGCGATGGGCATCAATGACCTTCTCCATTTCGACTTCATGGATCCGCCTCCGACAAACACCATGCTTACGGCCCTGGAGGAACTATACGCACTGTCCGCTCTGGACGATGAAGGTCTTTTGACTCGCCTCGGACGGAAAATGGCCGACTTCCCCATGGAGCCGGCTCTCGCCAAGGTCCTCATCGCCTCGGTGGAGATGGGCTGCTCTGATGAGATGCTCAGCATTGTGGCCATGCTGTCGGTCCAGTCGGTCTTCTATCGACCAAAGGACAAGCAGCAACAGGCGGATCAGAAGAAAGCAAAGTTCCACGACCCACACGGTGATCATCTCACCTTGCTCAATGTCTATAATGCGTGGAAACAGTCAGGCTACAGCAACGCCTGGTGCTACGAGAATTTCATCCAGGCGCGGCAGATGCGTCGTGCCCAGGATGTTCGGCAGCAGCTTGTCAGCATCATGGAACGATACCACCACCAGATCGTCTCCTGTGGGCGAAACACCGTCAAGGTCCGTAAGGCGCTGTGCACTGGGTTCTTCCGGAATGCAGCTCGCAAAGATCCGCAGGAAGGATACAAGACCCTCACCGAAGGCACGCCTGTCTATCTGCACCCCAGCTCGGCTCTG